GGGAAACCCTGTTCCTCTGCAGGGCTTCCTAGTAAATACTTCCGTGTTTTCTGTTCGTTTAGCATTTGAAGGAGAGCTCAGGCTTCCTGCTTTGAGTAAGACTGCTTCTAGCTTTGTGAGTCTGTCCTTAAAATGCTGCCTTGGGGCTTTAAAATGTGTATAGCAGCTCCTGCCTGTGGCTGTGCCCAGGTGAGACTTGCAGAGTCAGACAGGTTTGTGAGCTGTTGTGGCCAGGCCCCCCTCCTTGAGAGGGGGGCAGACCCTGGCCCTGAGGAGTGGTTATTCCCTCTCACTCTTCCTGCTTTTTTGACACAATATGTATAAAAGACATTGTTTTGTTTTGCTTTTGCCCTGAGTCTTGCACACTGCTCAGCTGAAGCCTCCTGTAATTGTAAGTGCAGATAAAAGTGCAAAAGGAAAATGCTGATTTTGAGTTGTCATGCTGTATATTCTCATAGTAGGAATTGTATAAGAACACACTCTTAAAATATGTTCCTGTTCTACTTTTTGTTTGTTTGTTGTTTTTTTCCTCTGAAGATGACAGCTTCTGATGGTGTACAGGAGAGTGTTCCTGTGACAGTCAACATCATGGTGATGGATGCAAATGATAATTCCCCAACCTTCTCCAATATATCCTACAGTGTCAAGATTTATACAGATATGATGCCTGGGGAAGGCGTTATAAAGGTAATTTCACACTTTCTTGTTAGCTTTGTTATCTCATTCTTTTCTAGCAGTAGATGGTCTTGTTAATCCAAGTTGAAAATGCATTGAAAACAGCTGCAAACAGCTTGTCTGTCTCTAGCCTCTTCATTAGTTACACAGCTACTAAAAAGTTGCTGGAACTAAATGGTGGGCCTCTCTTAGATGTGTAGCTGCAGCTCAGCTGTTGCATCTGAAGTTTTACAAAACATTTTCATCTGAAAAATCTTGAAAGAAAAAAACTATTATCCTGTGTTAGTGGGATATTGAAATAAAACATTTTGGGAGAACAGGTACAGGGTTCAGTAGGACATAACTAGAAATGTTTTACCATGTCATTTTTAGAGAAGCCTAAGTTTGTTTGTAGAGCAAATGAGCATTGAAAAATGTGTTGAACACAGACCCAGAGAGAGAAGCAGTTTCAATTGAAGTTTGCAAGTACTGATTTATGTGGCAGTGCAGCCCGTGGAGGTGTGTTCTGATTGCACTGAAGTTCATAGAAAAAGGGGGGTTTGGGTGGTTATTCTTCCAACATTCCAGCCATGCTTCTGGAGCTTCCAGTCCAGCTGCATGAGAAGACAAAGTGCTGCTAGTGGAGGCTGGCATTCAAGGATGGCAAAATACAGTAGAATTAAGGAAAAAAAATATATTCATTAGCTGACTTAACTAATAAATAATATTTCCTGAAATATAATCAGCTGCTGAGCTTGGGAAGGCAGCAGTGATTTCATGGTATTAGGAGCAAGTTCAGTGTCTGTTTTGGCATGTGCCCTACTTGAGCTGAACTGACTTGATGTGTTTGCTATCTTTGGATCTTCATTTATGTTATTCTTGTCTCTTCATCAATCTGGGCTCTAAGTGATTAACAGCATCAGTGACAGCCCTGGGGACATTTTCAGCAAGATTTTATGGAAAAAAAAAATTAAAATACAAGTTTTAAACATAAGTTCCAGCTTTGCACAGGGCTGTGTGGAAGACAAAGAGAGAGCAAATACTGTTGTCCTAAGTGAGCAAAAGGCAGGTAGAGCTCAGGAGCTGTGCATAGGGTTTGACATCAGGAGCTGTTCTTGCAGCATCTCATAAACTCCTAACTCCATGTATAATGGTGGATTTTTAAAGTAGAACACATTTGTGTGGTATTTAAGGTACAGAGATACATACAGTGCTGAAAAACATTCAATTGTAATTTAACTTTAAAGATTTCTTTCCTAAAGCATTAAGACTATAGCCCAAGAAGAAATCACAGAATCATAGAATGTGCTGAGTTGGAAGGGATGCATCAGGGTCATCGTGTCCAACTCCTGCCCCTGTGTAGGGCACCCCAAGAATCACATGGTGATCATGTTGAGGGTTCATCAGGGTTATGACATGGCCTTTGGTGTGCAGGGCATCAGATCCAGTGGTGTGCTGTGGATTTAAAGTATCCCAGTATCCAAATGGTTTTTCCTCTTAAAAGTTCATGTGCCAGGCAGCACAAGGCAGAAGATGTTGCTAAATGAGACTGCAGCAAGTGTGGCAAGACTAGTCCTAGTGCCCAAAGTTGGCCTGAGGGATTCTCTGAGCTGCCTGAGTGGTGTAAATGCATGGATGACACATGGGATGAAGTAGAGCAGCTACTGTGCTTTTCTGAAGCAACTGCAGTGCTAAAGTACTTGTGTGTTCAGAGGGACTGTGCTGTCCTGAGGGTTTACACCTTCTGGTATTTCACCTGTAAATACTTTCAGACCCTGGAGGTGTGAAAAGAGCAGGAGCACAAATCCTTTGTTTCTGCTTGGATCCATCAGATCAATGAAATTATGTGGATTTAGAAGTATGGTAGAGACAAAAAAGCAAAAGGGCAGAAATGGTGAGAAGTTTAGGTGTAAATATTGTGCAGTGTTTGAACTTAGCTAATACCTGACATGGACCTGGAACTGGTCCCTTCTAGAAAGACATTGGGAAGTTGGAAATGAGTAGTGGGGAGGCCAGGCTTTATACTTGGCTTTGCTGAGAATTAAACTTGTTTTGGAAAGCCTAAGAGTTCTGAGAGTGAGGGTTTTTCCCTCCTCCACACTTCTGTCTGCAAGCAACAAGTGGTTATAGACTATGTGAGTTTACAATATGGTCAGAGATGGAGGGTAGATCATTCTTCCCGGTTTGAAATGGGGGTGTTTTTCAACTAATCTTACTTTGCCAAGTGCTCTGACATTAAAAAAAAGCTAAGACTCACCATAAGATTTCTGCAGACCATGATCATGCCAGTAGTGATGATTCCAGACTGCTGGGGTGTTTGGGGAGTTGCTCACCTGGTTATTTTGCCCAGGTTACAGGCACTGAGTCTGTCATGCACCCTTATAGGAGCTGAGGGAAGAGACTTCAGTAGCCACCAAGTCTGTGGTGCCAAGAATGCCCAGGGGTTTCCTTAGGGCAGGAAGGTGGGGGTGTGCTGCTGAATCAGTGTTTGCCTCTGCTTTATAAATACTTTCTGAAATGTAAAACTGACTTCTGACTATTTTTTATTTTTTTTTTAACTGCTAATACAGTGATTTTGGTGATATACTTAACTTGTTCTCTGTGTGTGGAACAAACTCATCCTGTAACCCATCTCATAATTGGTTTAAGAATCACTTGAGATGCTGTGGGATGATGATCAGCTATGAGAGCTCTGAGAGGAAAATGACCCAGGTCACGTATGATTAGCCTGCAAAAAACACTTTTTCTTGTCAGAGAAGGTAGGTTAGAAAAAGAACACTGACCTCAGTGAATCTGTACAACCACATAATCATTTACACATAAGTGCTGGCTTGCACTTAACTATCTACTCAGACTTCAAAAGAAAGATTATCTCTGAAGACAGAGATAATCAAGAAATTATTTCTTTTATGAAGCATGTCACCTTTCTACAAAAAATGCCAATTTCTGGTCTAGCAGTGTAAGTGCTCTCATGTAGTTGCCACTTTGCTTTTGTTATCCAGAGGGTAATAAACTTATTAAGTTTTTTTCTTCTTTTGGCTGAGGGTAGTTGTGTGGAAATGTACAAATAAACCCAGTGTGTACTTGCTTTCCATCCCATTTTGTGGGAAGTTATTTTTATTTTACTCTTGGAAATAAAAGCCCAAACATATTATCTAATAGGTTGGATTGTTTTTGCAGTCTGGTACTGTTAGAAAAATAAATAAAAAAAACCCCTTATGCTCCACTTGAAAATTAAAAATAGCAGGAAAAAAAAGATACAAGTGAAATTCAGGGGGGTTTCTTCCCATTTTCTTTACCCCAATGGATAGTTAGAGCAAGGGATTTCCTTCCTTTCCCTGTTGCCTTTAAGAGGAGCAAAATAAGGGAAACAAATTTGTGTGCTGCTGAGTTGCATTGGTTTCATCTGGGAGCCTGGGGGTGGTGAGTGATCTACCTTTTGCCTTCCAGTTGTACGTGTCAGCTGCAGCTCTGCCTGTGTGCTTGTCAGAAAGTCTGAGGGTGTCATGACAGAGGAGCTTGTCCCCTTTATGGGAACAACCTCCCTCCACTTTTGGAGGATGCAGAGTGGAACAGGAAATCTCTGCTCCCTGACTCCTTGGGCAGGGGCTATGGTGGTACCCCTGGGTTGTTGAGACCAGAATTGGTTTGGGAACTTATTATTTATTTCAGGTTGAGGAGAAGATTTTCTATGTTAGGTTTAAATGTCTGTATATTCTGGCCCTTTCTGCTTGAGAATTTCTTCCCTGATTTTTTCTTCTGCTTTTATAGGCTTTTTTATTGTGCTTCCTGAGAGAGACTCCAGCTGATTGAGAAATCTGTCACTTAAAACAGTTAAATGTGTGCTAAATAATAATCATCACTAAGAAAAGTGATTAATATTAAACCTATTAAAGTACCTAATTCCAATTTTTTTTTTTTTATATCATTAGAATTTTGCTGTTCTGTTTTCTGCTTTCCTATTAGTCCTTTCTTTCAGATATTTAAATATCTTCCAGATATTTAAATTAGTTACACAGTGAGGGTTGGGGTAAGCAGCAGCCATGTAGAATGTTTCACTTAAGTAACTTAAAGCCAATCTGTTTCTTTAGACATCTCTCCCTTCTTTATACAGCATAAACTATGCTGTATAAGGCACAGAGAATGCTGAGCAATAAAATCAGAGAGCTGAGAAGGGGCAGAGGATGGCAGAAAACCATTATACACCTAAATCCTTGTGCAAATTTGTCTAAAGGTCAAAGACTTCTTGGCCCAGAAGAGCATTTTTTATATGTTCTTTTTACAGAAAAACTCATGGTCTAGCCTTAAGAAGCAGAGTCTGTGATTATTCTGCTTTAAATATATGTAACAAAAATAACATATTTTAATTTACCTGTTTATATTCTACCTAATTTCCTGGTGCAGAGGTATGACCAGTGTTCAAGCCTCTCTTACAAGACCAGTTAAATAACTCCATGATGGAAAATGGAAAAAAAAAAAGCAGCTGTGCAGTGGATTAGTGCATTGCCTGCTCACCCTGGGCCAGCTGGAGCAGTTCTGCCTGAGATCACCAGCACGGGGCAGTTTGGAGGCCCTGCGCCAGATCTTGGTTAGGTAGAGCACTCACCTTCACACCTCAGGGCATAAGCAGCCACTGTACTGGAGGTCACAAGTGACAGCAGAAAGGGAAAACGTGGTAAAACTGCAGGCAGTGAAGTGTCTATCACTGAGCTCTTGCTCACAGTAGAATTAGTCTTGAGCAGTAACAGTGTTTTCAGTTATACACAGGGACAGATTTTATTTAGAGCCATTAAATAAATACCCTCTCTGGGACTGGTTTGCCATTATCTCAAACACAGCTGCTCAGTGCTGGATCACTTTGTCTCTTTGAAACAGTTTGTTTTCATTCCCTGCACATAGGCACGTGTGACTCCAGCCATCCTTCCATACAGGCACACACTAAATGATTTATTAGAGACATGTTTGGGTATTTGCAGCTTGACATATGCTCCTGGTTTACAGCTCTTAAACAGGCATCTTGCTGTAAAGCCAGAGAACAATTTAGAGGAAATCTTTATGAAAGTCATCTCTGAACCACACTTAATGTTTTATTTATGTGGTTATTTGCAGCCCATTGCCTTCAGTCCATCAGCATATTAATTTCCATCTACAAACTAAACATTATTAGCAGAAACAGAAAACACAACAGGGTTATGTTTGCATCTCTCAGTAAACATAAATACATACTGAAGTAAAAATAATGGATAGAGACTTAATGAAATGTCTGAAGAAGATATTGAACAAGTATTTTGACCTACTCTGTTAGTGTTACATTTTCTTGGCTGAAGTTCCAGAATAGCTCCATCACAACCCTGTTTGCCCGTGACACACAGAAACTCATGACTGCTTTTACTAGTGAAACTAATGGCTGCAGGTTAAATGTTGAAGCCCAGCTTCCTCCAAGTATAAAGTGAGTCTGGACAGAGCTTATATAGTGACCAAGAACGTGTCCTTCTAAGTTGTTAAACTGTGGCTGGAAGTCCCTTTTTCCTTCCAAGATCATCACTTCTTACTGCAGCAGAATATGCACCTATTTTGCAAAACTTTCAACACATTAAATGTTAAAGGGCTGGAGCTGTTACTGCTGGATGCAAGAAGTATTTTAGGAAAGTAAAATAAATCTTGTTTTGTGCTTCTTTCTGTGTATTTTAGACAGTGTTTCTGAAATCTTGTTAACTATGAAACTCTATCGGTCTGGGACAGCTGGAGAGGGAATTTATAGAATCATGTATTATGGCAGCTGTTAGGCTTTAATTCTGTTTCATTCTGGTTTTGATTCCTGTTTTTACTCCCCAAAACATCATTCAAATAACTTATCTTTTCAAGCACTCAGTATTTGTAAGTTTAATTAACCTTACTAATCTATGTACTTGTGTAGTCAATTAATTTCCTTTTTCATGTTGTCCCAGTAAAAACTGGCTTGTTCCAAACCCTGACATTAAATACTTATGACCTTACATTTTCCATGAAGCCTTTATTTATCTTTTTGTGTTTTGCTACTTGTGAAGTTCAGTGGAGGTTTTTACAGCACTTTTCTTAACTTTGTCACTTAGTTTGATAGTTACTGTCCACAAGGATAATGAACAGTTGTGTATAGATACTCTAAAATGAGTGATAAAAGCAAAGCAGTTTGAGAGGGGTTTAAACTTTGAACCTTGGGAAGGGTGCAGAAAGTCAGGTTTACATGCTGAGTTTGGGTATGTGGGGACTGATCATTGCAAGGTAATATATTGATATATCAAGGCACCATATGGGGGGAATGCAAAGCATGTTCCAAAAGGGCAGGCTTCATAGGATGACTTTTTCACCATTTGAAAAGAAAATACAGAATGAAATACATACATTTTAATAATAATAGTAATAATAATAACAATAATAATATTTATTATTATTATTACAACAACAGAAGGATATTAATTTGGGTGCTGTTTTTTTAGCTTCTAAGAGTTTTTTAAGCTTCTCTGCTTTGTGTTTTTTTGAGATATTTAAAGTGTTTATCCTGTGTTCAATGCACAGTATGTCTTAAAATACTACAGGAGGATGAATTAAGACTTGCTCATTCTAGAGCACCAGTGATCAGCTTGCATTGTTGGAGGGAAGCATCTATGACAAAGAAATCAAAATAAGAATAGTTCAAATATACTAACTGCTTCGTTGGAGATTTGCTTTGGATTACTGTGCCAGGTGTGAAAGCAGAAAGCTGGTTCCTTCAGGAGAAAAGTACCTCAGCTAACATGCATTTCAGTTGCTGAATACTGTGAGCAACCTATTCCATGTTCAAAGCAGTTGCTGCTCCATAAAGCACTCAGGCCCTAGCAGCACTAGTAGTTTGCCATCCTGACAAAGAAGGTAAACTCCACTTTTTTTCAATTCCCGTCAATCACTTACCTTTTAGCATTTCATTTAATTTAATCTGTTTAAGCGACTGTGGGCTTCATTCTTGATTTTGAGCAAGTTTTTGACTTGTTCCATAAAATTTTATATTTCACTGACCCTATGTGCATGAGGTTATCCTATAAAGCAGCTCGATCCCTGAGTTTTTTGCACACTTGCCTCAGTGTTTTATGTCACATGCAAATGTCATTAACTTGCATATTACAGCTTTGGGTTTTATTCATCATCTCCCTTGTTCTAGTTGCAAGGTTCAGTTTCTGCTCTTCCAGTTTTTGAGCTATCCTTGGCCAAAGGTGATTTGAAAGTTGCAGGTGGTGCTCCAAAAGCCTGTGACCTGCTGAAGGTTGACTGATGCTGTATTGATTAATAGACTATTATATTGTAGCCTAAAGTAGCAGAGACTTCAGTGAGTTCCCCTCCCTGGCTGCAGTGCTGCCCACAAGGCTGAGAAAAGGTGTCCAGCAGGGAGATACTTAGCCTGCTCTCTTGGCTGGCCCTGTCTGAGATAATGTCTATTGATCCTGCTTTGGACTCCCCAGTAGTTCCCGAGGTTTTGTGTCATTGTGTTAACCTTAAATCCTGGGCTTGAAACCCTACATGCAGTGCTGCCCACTGGCATGTGTGTTTGTGTCAAGAAAGCTAAAACAGATAGGCCAGCAGAAGGAAAGTCCATGTCTGTTCTTTTTTTCACTGTAGGAGCCCTGCAGCGAATACTTTCTGAGGCTGGAATCTTTTACTGCTTAGTGTATCCTCAGGAGCTGTGCTGCTGTACCTGCTGCTGCCCCGTGCTGGGAGCAGCAGCAGCCCCTGGTGCCATCATTCCCTGGCATTGCCACTCCTCTGCTGTTGGGAGGGAGAAGCTGGGTGCAGAGGCAGCGCTGCCACTGCCTGCTGTGGCCTCCTAGAAGTTCAAGTTCTGTTTGCATTGCCTTGTCATCCCATGTGCTGTTTGAGGCAATATACACCCATACAAAATTAAGAGCCAACCTCAAAACCAGTGTGTGTGTCAGCAAAATAACCACTGTGGGAAGAAGAAATTGACCTTATAGAGTCCAGAGGTACTGGTGCAGTTTGGTGGTGCTTTGGTTGTTCAACCATAATGCTGAATGCTGTACTCCTTTATTATTATTATTATTTTCCTGAATGCAGTAATAATTAAAATAGAATTTTAATCGCAGCAATACAAGTCAAGTGCATGGCACTGTGAGCAGTTTGCTGTGTGATAATACATTGTATGTAGAATAACTTGTGTTTTTCTGTATGTGTGTGAAGGAAGAGGAGAGAGCAAAGGGCTTAGCTAGGACATGGGGCTGCCAAGGGGCGTGAATAGGGTGTGGATGGAGATTCCTGACTGTTACAACAGGGATCTGATCTGAAATCTCAATTGTTGGCTCTGTGTTATGGCATTGCAGTCAGGGCACTGGTGCAGTTACCAGCACCCACATAGGATTACTGAGCTGTGGTTTCTGGCTGTGTGTGGAAATGCTTCAGCATGGCTTACATGGGATAAACCCACTGCCTTTCCCAGGGGCAAGGTAAGAACCCCCTCATTTCCAATAACCTTAGTCATTATCATTTGGCTCTAAAATCTTAGACCTTAGATTTTTTGCATGCTCAGAATCAAAACTGTGCAATTCTATAGCAGAATTAAGAGTGATGTAGCAGAGAGATGGTATAAAGGCAGCCAAGTCCAGCAGCACATGCTGGGTTATCAGAGAGCACAGAGGTGGCCCCAGGCATCCTGTCAGGCAGGTACTGTCATGTTGCCATGTGAGATGGGCCTTGCATGTGGTTGTGTTTCCTACCCATGTATCCATATGGGAGAACAGCTGCCATTTCTACTCACTTGACTCCCTTTCAGGTACATGCACACATGAGTAACACAGACATCCTTCTCCAGTTCCACCTGGCAAGGTCTTGTCATGCAAGACCCAGACAGCAGGATTTCTGGCAGAATCAAAACTGTCAGTTTGAAGAGTGTAGAGAGCAATGGGAACTTTAAGTAGTTAAAGTAGTTAAATGCAATCCTCTTGTTACATTTGCAACACAGTAAGTATCTTCTTGCCACCTCCCCCCTTTATAGGAAGTGTTACCAATTCCAATCCAAAGAGATTAAACTTGCTCTTAATTGGTTTTCTTAATTTGTGGCTTAAAATAATGTGCTTGCAATCTTAGGTATGCAGGGTTTTTTCTGCTTCATGATGTCTTTACAATTTAAATGAAGGATAATAGGTGTATCCTTGTTGTATAGTGATTAGAAATTACTGCATATGTTACAGGTGTGCAAATTTCCCCTCTGCTTCCTCTACCCCTGCTGAGTTGCCTTACAAAAAAGCCTATTAAAATACCCCGCTGAACCACGCATGCTGACATTCTGGTTTTGAATTGCAGCTCACGGCTGTAGATGCGGACGAGGGACCCAATGGACAGATAGTGTATGAAATTTTGGCTGGAGATCAGGGAGACTTCACCATCAATGACCGAACAGGCCTTATCAGCATCGCTCCGGGGGTGGTGCTGGCAGTAGGGCGCTCCTACGCTCTCACTGTCAGGGCATCTGATAGTGCTCCTCCTGCGCAGAGAAGGTAACTCATCTCCTCTTGAAACTCATCTGCTCACCAGTGCTTAGCAGCACCCACCAAGTGTGGCACAGCCTGTTACCCCACGGTCAAGTACAGCTCAGTGTGTTCTGTTTGGTGTTAAGGGTCATCTTTTGGAAATGTGTTCTGTTAGAGGTCTCACTTTTTGTTCCCTGTTTATGTTTTCCTTGCAGTGCACAGTTTTCATTAATTCATTTGCTTACGATGGTCTGTTCTTTTTTTTTTGAAGTTCACGTGTCGTGCTGTCATTCTGCATGCCCATTTGTTAAGAAATTGAAGTGAGGGGATGTCAGCAAGAAAACAAGTGGGAAAGAAGGTGCCTTTTGTTTATAATGCAGCTTGCTGTGGTGCAGAAAGGATCAGAAACAGTTTGGTGGCTGGGCTGGAGACCTTCTCTCCAGGTGTAGGGTGTGCAGGGCCATTGAGACGTGCCTTGATGTGGACATACTTGACAAGCTGTGCCAATGGTGGATGCCCCCACTAAGACCTCCATTCTTACTGGCAGAATTATTTCTATTCTCCACCTGATAAAGAGCAGCCTGCAAATTTAGCATGGTTAGACCAGGTTCTCTCATGTTAAAAAAAAATTTAAAACATCAAGTCCCACTTAACTGCTTCTTTTCAGTTTGTGTTTTGAGTTTGGCAATTGTGCACAAATGGCATTTCATGAAGGCATAGAAGTGGGTGTATAAGTGGCTGTCATGTTCTGGGCCTGGTATTGATAATGTGACAACCTCACTGTCCAAAGGGAATGACATGGAGGGAGAGCACTTCCCAGCATTTGAATCTCCCACCATCTTTTATCTTCAAATGGGGAATGTAAGAAAGAAAGATAACATAAAAATGGAATTTCACTCATTGGCTTTTCTTCAGGTCCTGCTGCTTCTATCATGTCTCCAAGAAAGCAGCTCGTACTGTTGTGCTGTTTCAAAATATTTTTGTTTTCCAGTCACTGAAGTATTCAGATTGCTATGTTGTTCATAGAAGTAGTATCTGGTAACCTCATCTCCTGGCTCAATTTTCTTCTCCTTTCCCTCTTGCCTGATAAGCCCTCTTGTAGGGTAGCTGATAGGAGGCTGAAGAGAAGATTGCCAGCTGCTACCTACTCACTGTTGTCTGGTACTAGCATATTATTAAAGTGGAGGACAAAAATCAATAAAGCCACTTCAGAGAGCTTCAGAGTCCAGCAGTGTGGCCCCAGCAACACTAGCCCCTAGAATACAGCTTTGATTGCTGTCAGCTCCTTTGATGTTTGAAGAATCTTTATATTGCCCTAAAATATGTACCTCTGGTGGTGTATATTGGGAGCATGTGCTGTCTCCTCTGGAGGTGTCTTTATTGCAATAGTCTTCAGAAGTGGAAAAGCTCTCCTTTCTTGTTTCAGCTTGACTCCAGTTTTTTGGAATTACAGCAGGCAGTTCTCTTCATAGCTTTTAATGTGTGTTTAAAAACCACTGCATCTAGGCAGTATTCCCATAGTTAGGGTCGGTGGCCCTGGGGCCAGCCTGGCCTTGACCCAAGGTGTATTTGAGGCCCAGAGCTGTTTTTCCTGTGTCTGTGAAGGTTAAAAAATAAGGGGTAGGGCCATTGGAGCTTCCACAATGTGCTGTGGAGAAAGAATATGGATGACTGACTGTCTGGTAAGAGACATTCAGATAAAATTATTTTCCTCCCTTCCTGATGTTCTTCCTGTGAGGCTGGAGAACCAGAAATGAGCTGCTGGTGCTTGGAGCCAAGTCCTGCCATTTTAAACAGAAAAAAGCCAGGGAAAGGTCATAGGAGCTACAGCTCCGAGGTCTTTAAAGCTGTCTCCTTCCTTCCTTCTGGCTGTGAGGTGGTTAGTGATTCACAGTTGGGGTTGTATTTAGTGGTGCATGTTGCCTCGGTTGAGGCAGTAACCAGTGTTGGAACTTCTAGGAGCAGGCAAGGTCTAGGCAGCCATTACACATGCAGGCAGGGAAGTCTGTGCCATGTACAATCAGTAAAGGATTTCGATGTAATTTCAAATATGAAGCATTTTTTCCCAAACCTGGATTCTGTTGCAGGACATACTAGACTATCTGTAGCCATCTGTAAACTGGTTGGGCCGCAGCTCTGCCCTTGCTTATGCACAAAGCCAGGCCAAACAATTAAACCTGGCTCAGGAACTGTGGCTCTGCAGCCTGTGTGAGCACAAATTGAAATTGAAATGCATTCTGTGTAGCTTTTTTTTATAGTATGACACATTAAATCCCTGACAGGTGACTGTGCATAAAACAAGGAATTTGGTTGGGTATTTTTGAAGTTTCTATAGCAAGCATCATTAATGTCAGTTATTGAGATGTATTTAAGTACACTGAAATACTTTCAGTATATTCAAGTTTCTACAAATTATTAAAGATGAAGTTTAGTTTTTCAAAACTGAAGTTGTAGTAAAGCATACAGGGATTAGCAATTTCTGTTCTTGAAAGAACATTAGAAGAACATTTGTAAAATCAACAATTTCATTTCAGACCTCAGCCTTTTCACTACTGATGTCAGATGCCTGTACAGTGGAAGGGTGTCACTTGGTGACAAGAGTGATATGCCAGAGCAAGACTAATTTAGAAACTACCTGATCATGAGATAATTATTCCATATTCCATTATTTCCATAGTTGAAAAGTATACATTGTCTTAGACTTGCATATGCTGAAGTTGTTTGAAGATTCAGCTTTGTCTCCTTTTTTTTCCCCAAGCCAAAGCAGATTTTGCCAGCCACTTACATGGGCTTTATATAGCACACATAAAATGAATGGTGTTGTAAATATGAAAGTGCTAATTAAAACTGGATTGGAAATGGAAAAAAAAAAGAAAAAAGTAACTGTTTAATATCATAATTCTTTTAGTTTGTGGGCTACTAGTGTTCAGTTTTTATTATCTGATCTTAAAGATTTGAAGAAAATTTGCTGTATTTTAGAGCTTGATGGACAGTAAATCAATTTGGGTATTATTAAGATGTAACAGGATAAGGAAAAATTGTACACAAGAACATATTTTTATTAAATATTCAGCAATGGAAGAGATATACACACTAAACTGAAACTATTTGGTGGAACATTATACACAGATGGCAGCTATCCCAACAAGATATGCAGCCCTAGCGCTAAAGTGATATTTTGTCTGCTAATTTATTGTGTCTGATGTTGAGCATTTGGTAATGGTGGGGTTTTTTTATTCCAACAATGTAAATGTGGAACATCAATTCAGAAAGATCAGTGGGATATGAGGAGTGTTTTACAACAGGCAAGAAGACAGAAAACTAACTATAGTTTACAAGGAGTTAATCTACATGGAATTACCAACTTCAGTTGTAATTGTCCATCTTCCCCTGATTATACTCCTTTTGTTTATAGCTGCTGAGGCAGTGATCTGCAAATCCAGCTTCTTAAATGCTCACAGGTATGATGCAAATGTTAAGGATCATCCACTGATGCACTTCAGTGCAAGTTACATCCTTGTGTAAAAGGTGATTAAATCCAATAATGACCTGGCTATTAAGCTGGAAGCAGGAAGATTCCTGTCTCCTGTGTTTGTAGATGGAAGTGAATCTGGCTCCAGGGAGGAGTGGCTGTAGGAAGGCAGCATCTGAAGCATTGCTGACATGGGAAGGTGGGGGTTGCCCTGGATTAGCTGGTAGCCAGGGTGTAGGAGCACTGATGGATGTTCCCTGGGCTGCCATGACATGGCTCGTGGTGGAGCAGTTTAACATGGAAGGCTCCTTAGGGTCAGCTGGTGTATGGTATTAATACACATCTGTGGGGTACCTGCCCAGCCACACACTCACTCCCTCCCCTCCTCAACAGGATGGGGTGGGAATAGGATAAGAAATCTTGTGGATTGAGATAAAGGTGGGGAATGGGGGTTAAAGTCAGACCATAACACCACTCTCCCTCTCTTTCCTCCCCACACCTTTCTTGCCCAGTCAAGCTCTCCACACAGATGACCAGATGGCTGCCTCCTCCTTCCTCACCCTCCTCCTCTTTCCTCGCCATTCTCCTCCTTCCTCATCATCCTCCTCCTTCCTCATCATCTTTCTCGTTCCTCATCATCCTCCTCCTTCCTCATCATCCTCCTCCTTCGACATCATCCTCCTCCTTCCACGTCATGTTCCTCCTTCCTCACCCTCCTCCTTACCCTCCTCTCCCCCAGCTCGGTGCTGACAGGGTATTTCCTCACCCTTTTCTCCTCACTTTTCCAGCGCTTTTCCCTGTTCTTACACCATTTCCCTGCAGCACCACCAGCAGGGTTGAGGGCTGGGCAGTGACTGGACATGAGGCAGCTGGAACCGGCTCTTCCCGCCCTGTGGCAGCCTCGGCCTCTCCTCACACAGACCCCTCAGCCCCTGGGCATGGGCACCCAAACCAACCCAGCTGAGGAGCGTGTCTGCCTCCTGTTTGAAGCAGCTCTTGGTACATGTCCCAGGGCTGGGGAGGGACTTTTTATAAAGGCAGGTAGCAATAGGACAAGTGGTAGCAAATTCAAACTGGAAAAGGGGAGATTGAGATGAGATGTGAGGAGGAAATTGTTTCCTGTGAGGGTGGTGAGAGCCTGGCCCAGGTTGCCCAGGGAAGCTGTGGCTGCCCCATCCCTGGCAGTGTTGAAGGGCAGGTTGGATGGGGCTTGGAGCAACCTGGGCTGGTGGAAGGTGTCCCTGCCCATGCAGGGGGTTGGGACTGGATGATCCTGAAGGTCCCTTCCAACCCAAACCATTTGGAGATTCTGTGAAAACTTGTGGCTGAGCTGTGATGGGCCGGAGGCACCAGACTGGGTTTAATTCTGCCCCCCCCCCTCCACCCCCCCAGGGCTGTGGGGCTGTGTGTGTGGACATGTCCCTAGGGACAGAGCATTTAAGCCATTGGTGGTTGGATTCTTGGAGCATGGTGCGTGGCACAGCCCCAAAGCCATATCGTGGTGTTGCAGAAATGCTCTGCCCAGCTCCTACCAGTGGCATCAAGTTATGAAACCTGCTGGCAAAGGGTGGTGGGAAGCACCCATCACACAGTGGTGACTGTGCTTGGTCAGAATCCTTTGCAGCTAATTAAAAATATCAATGATGTGTTTATTTGGTATTTATTGAACTCTTTCAGTTTTCACAAAAGCTATTTCAACTATAAAATACCTGGTAAAATCTTGTAGGAGTCTCTAAAAATCCCCTGAGTTTGCTAGCCCTCCAAGAAGCACCTCATGGTGTGTTCAGGTTTTTCTTCTCTCTCCCTCCCCTGTCCTCCAAAAATAATTAAAAAATTTGGGACACATGCCTTTGTCCTGAAGCCATTTCCTTTCCTCCTTAGCCTGAGACTTACCAACTTCTCAAAAGGCTTATGTGGAGGAAATCTGCACCTGCAACACTTGCTCTCCTCAGGGTTTTGTTGTGGGGCATGGGTTCTGTGGTGACATACAGAAGAGAAGATGAATGGGATGACTGAGTGAAGATGCAAGAGAAAGGTCCTTTTAAGCCAGATATTGAATCTCTCTTTCAATTTAGGGAGATTTTTGGCTCCCTTTCTCAATCTGGAGCAGTTGAATAGAAGTGTGTCTCTGCAGGACGTGTAGTCGGTGTCAGTGTTCCAAGAAAAGCCTTCAACTTGCAAACTGGAATGTTGTTTGCAGGGTATTTGGGTTAGGGGGTCAATGCAGTTGAAGGGCTTGCCAGATTCACTTGGTGGGTTTTCTAGTCTCCTGTATTGCCATGGCTCAGTAATCTGAAGTGGGCTTGGCTTTATGTGTGTGAACCTCAGTATTGATGCAGCCTGTTAAAGAGTTGTGTTCCATCAATCTTCTCTCAGCATTATCCTCTCAGTCAAGATTTTCTGTTCCCTCTCTTCCAAAGAAAGGTAGCAAGCTGTGACAGCAGGGTTGTTCCAGGGCTGCATATTGTGCTTGCCAGGAGCTGTTACTGTCTCAGAATTTGCCACACTCTTCTAGAGGACACACTATCACCAGGGGATTATGAGTCTTCTTTGTATGGGTTGCATGTGCAATGCTGTCTTAACTGCTTTGTTTTTCAAAGAACACTTGGGCTCCTTTTAAATAAATTAATTAGTTTTGCTTCTCTTAGCATGGCAGCCTGCTTTATTTTCTTGATGCAGAATGAAAAATACATCCTGAAGCTGTTAAAGGAGCAAAGGGAGGTTGTTAGCACTAGACAACACACAGTGTATAAAATAGACATAGCTGGCCACCCCTGTGTTTGTTGATTTATTGATTATGACTGGCTTTGACTTTTTTTTAATTTATTTTATTTTCCCTTGCATTGCAGGAGCTCTATTACTACTGTTTACATTGAGGTACTTCCTCCCAACAACCAGAGCCCTCCCCGCTTTCCCCAGCTGATGTACAGCCTTGAAGTCAGTGAGGCCATGAGAACTGGAGCTGTTTTGTTAAACCTGCAGGTACAGATGCTTCCCTGTAAGCCTTTACCATGTTCCTTCTCTTTGTGCCATGCCATGCAGAACCCAGTCCTTGCATACAGGGGGCGAATACAGTTTATAGGAATTTAGAATCATTTAATCACAATAAATAGTCTCTTTTACATAGGAAAAGTGCTTACCTGGATATTTCAATAAGGTTTTTTTGTGTGTGTGCATTTTATGTTCTAGAAGGTACTATAATCTGTGTATGGGACTGAAGTATATGAGAGAAAAATTTCCATGAATGGCTCAAAACTTAAGAGGCCTATAATTTTTAATGTTTAAATATATATGTATATGTATTTGCCAGCAAATCAGAGCAGCTTAGGACGTTCCACATCTAATTCATGTGAAATTTCCATGAGACTTTTGGCACTCAGCTGTCTTCAGCCTGTTGTTTTGAAAAGCATCTGAAGATGCTTTCCTGATGTAGCGGGGGGGAAGGACTCAATGATCTTCAGAGGTCACTTCCAATCCTTATGGTTCTATGATATTTACTCCTCTTGTATGTAACAAGTGCTTTTAACAGGCTAACAAAAAGCAGAGGTCCCTGTACTAACTGACCACCCAATTTAGGTCTGCAGGTGGAAGCAGGGAAAGCACATTGGTCTCATATTGCTTACAAATAGAGCTGCACTGACATAGTTTGCACACCCAGGTTACTTCTCTGTGTGTTGCTGCATAGCTAATATATCAGCTTGCTTATTTACTGTTCCCTAAGCTATTGCTGCATTGTGTTCTGTCAATGTGTTTTGAAAGCCAGCTGTGCCAAAGAGGTGGATAAATTACAACTCTCTGGTTGTTTTTTTGGGGACTAGGAACTTACTATAAAAGAGTAATATGGCCTCAAGTCTAAAGCAATAAGCTCAGTCCAGCATGCTCTCCTGAGCATGGTCCCTGTAAACATGGTAGTATTATTTAGACTTCATATGAAGGCATTTGTATGAAGCAGACTGGAGATACCTGAGCTAAACAAAAACCATATCAAGAGCCTCATCTGCTTTGTGTCGGTGCAGCTCCACTGAAGGTGCTGAAGTCAGTGGAATTAGGTCAGTTCATACCAGCTGAAGTGTGGCTCTGTGTGTTTTGCACATTCAGTAAATGCACAGGGGACAAAAAAATTATCCAAACCATAGTGTGTGAAATAAAGGAACTTTAATCAAGTCATAGAAGCAGGTGAAGAGGTAAGTTTCTATTAAAATGCTTTGCTGATGAAAGGTAAAGATTATTATAGATGGTTAAACTGATTCACCTGCACTGAGGGACAATGCCTCGTCTGGCTCTGTGCTGAAAATTAACTTCTGACATGTCTCTAATGTCTGTGAGGCAGAGTTGAGGAGCCGTGCTGCTCAGGAGCCTTCTCCTCATTGGTGAGGAAACACTTGGTTTTGGAAATGCCAAAGCCTAACAGGAGCCAGAAGCAGCTGAGGGACAGAAACATTTGTGTTTACTTGGTGGTGCTGCGATATATGGCAAAGGCCTGGAGGCAGAAAAACTATTAGCAGCTTTTTTAGTATTTAAGGATTTTGCACACTAAACATGGTTAGAAAGTGAACCTCATTGTTGGCATAATCTGCTTGAACATTTCACTAAACCCTCAACATTCTACCTACGTTTTTCTTTCCTTTTCAAATGATCTTTGGTGAGGTTTGCTGAGTAGATCTGCGAGAGGCAGCCTGTGCTGGGCAAGGCAGGAGAGGTGCAAAGCTCTTCTCTTTCCAGCCAGGATGCTGGTGAGCATTTGGTCAGGACCCAGAAGTAACCAGTTACTGTGGCTGGGGAAGAGTGAAATGCATCAGTTAATTTGAGGAGCTTTGGAAATACACAGAAAATACTGTCTTCTGCTTCCTGTTCCTGCAATGTAGATGAGCCTTAAATGACCGATATGCTATGCATGACTTGATTTTAACCAGGCAATTTATGAAAAATTCTTAATTGTTGAATATGTTTTGGCTTCCCCTCTAGGTGATTAGTCAAAGACTGCATCTCTTGTAGGGCTGGTGGTCCTGGAGCTGAAATGCAGATGCATTGTCTTTCTAGTGCAAGTTCAGCTGCCTCGTTTTGCATTCGTATGCCCATCTGCATTAAAGCACATTTATTGTGTGGAGTATATTTCTGTCTTCATCTTCTTTTATTCCTGGCATAAAGTTGGCCAGGACATTTTAAACATTCATAAACTGAGCATTTAAGCTTATGAAACCTTGTGCTGTCTTTTCTAGGCAAACAGAAAATTACCAAGTACCCATCTTGGGGCTTTTGTGGAATTTTAAAAGTAGTTTAAGGTATTGCCTATTTAATAAGTGTTTTCATGTGTAAGTTTTCACACTGACTTACTTTCATATGTAGTTTTATCAATACATTTAGTATTTTGGACATAAGGTGTATTTTGATTGGTGCAGTAGGGTTAAGAGCTTATGCATTTATGACTTTCTCTTGATAATACACTGTTGATGTTGCATACTGTATGAGGATTACAAAAACTGGGAGAAAGTGAGCAAGTTATTTTAAAATCCCTGAGCTAGCAAATCTGAAGATCTGCAAAACATCAGTGTCAATAACAATGCAATTGCAGGTCTTTTAACTTTCCCTGTTAGACTTTGAAGTACATGCTCTAAAAATAAAATCTCCTTTCTCCTTCTCCATTAAAACTTTTCAAGCAGATGATGGGAAGTTGTATTTTTTCTTATACTATTATTTATTTTATAATGTACCCAGTTGATTGTGACTGGTGTTTTAATTAACAACATTTTAGATTAGGTAATGCAATATTAAATGAGCTCTACAGCATTAATTTGTAAATAAACCTCAGAGTTTATTGCATGCCTGGGAGGTATTTATTTCTTCATGTTCTGTCAGCTGTTATTAATTAAAATATGCAAATAGTGTAATATTTCTGGGAGTGTGCAAAACAAGACTGTTATCAGAGTCCAGTTATGTGCTAAAGAAGGAAGCTACATGGAATCATTGTGTACAGTTTATGAAGTCACTGTATGCAGCTGATCTGGAAACCAGGATTGCTCTTATGTGCAAGTGTTCACTGTTTTTCTTCTGTACATAATATGTTGATGTTTCTTGGTTTTAAAGAAAACAGAAGTTTTAAAAAAACAATTCTAAAGTTCTCCCCCCTCTTTTTTTTTTTTAAGTATGTTGATTGAAAGGTGCATTTTCTTTGGACATGAGGAGATAATAAAATAAACTAGAACTAGTCTTTTATTTTCTGTCATCTTGGAAGTCTCCAGACTTGTTATGAACTAATGTAGACTACAAATAAACCTCTGAGATACTCTTAAATGTGAAGTGAGGACAGGATCCCCTCCAGGCAAGGTGCAAAGAATAAAAGGACCGCTGTGATAGATGCCACAATGTGATTCTGGTGATTCAGGATCTATGATAGACCTCAGAGATGCCAGCTGGTCAGATTTTCTGCATCCAAAATTTGTGTAGTTTCATAATTTTGGCTCACAGTTTTTCTCTTGTCTCTTCTGGCTGCTCTTATCTTCAGCATTAGAACATCTGAATTCTACTCACACCCTCTTATGTGCTGGCACCTCCTGTCACTTGGTCCCTTCTGTGAATTTCATAAACAAATCAGTTTTATTCTTGCTTAATCCCGTCTTCCGTTTGTTTGTAGACTGTGTTGTCTAAACTTGTTTGTGAGGATGTCACACAAGGCAGCATGAGAAGCCTTACTGTGGCTGACATGCATTATTACATCCCCAGCTTTTTCCCTATTTACAAGACCTGTTGTCCTGTTGTAAAAAAAGATAAGATTGCTTTGACATATTTTGTTCTTGAGAAATTTAGCTTAGTGTTATCCATCTCCATATTGTCATCACAGGTACTTCAGAATCATTTGATTATTAATGTTTTTCTGGGAATTGAGCTCTACCTGTCTCTTCTGTGGTTTCCTGGCTCATTCCTCTGTGAGAGATGTATCTTGGGTTTGCCCTTCAGCACATTTGTCCTCTGTGAGTTTTCAAAGAAAACTGCTAATAGCTTTGAGATTGCCTCAGCCCATGTTTTTATACACTAGGATGAATTTCATCAGGCTTTAATTTCAGCAGATGATTTAAAGATGCTCTATTTATGTACATATTGTCTGCCTTATTCTTTATTCTCATCTGAGATTTTACCCCGTTATGGCCACAGTTAATTTAGTTAGCTGCTTGATTGCAGCTGAAGCACAAGAGGTGTTAGCTCTTTGACCTTCTCAACATCATCCTTTCTGCTCTAATACTGTGGGAAGGTACCATGCTCCAAGTTCCCTCTGCGATTTAGACATTTCTTTGTTATCTTTTGTATTCTTTTCTCTTTCTATTACAGTTTTGCCTTGACTTCTTCTGACCTTATCTCCATACAGTTTTGTTTGCTGATGCTTTATACTGGTCCCCTTCATCTGATGGAACCACTATTTTCATTATGCTTCCTTCGATTAGTGCAGCTTGGTTATCTAGATTGACTCTTCTGCCTGCACACCGAAATTGTTTGTGCTTCTGTCCTTCACGTTGAGGGGGGCAGTGTGTTGGTTTTTCTTGCTTTTTTTCTTGCTTGTTTTTGGGGATTGTTTTTTGGTCTTGAACTGCTTTTTAGATGGTCAGCCCAAAGATAGGAAGTTCTTTACTCTGGTCTACAGGAGATGCTTACAGAAAATACAGAAGAAAAAGGATGGTTGTTGAACAATGAGAAACACAAAAATGCTCTTTCCTTCCCTTTGATTTTGACGTGTCTTCTATTAAATCCTATCTGCTCTTCTTTCAACTTGTTGGTTGGTCTTCATGCAATTCTCATAACTGTTTTTCCTGTGAGAACATGCTTAATCACTTTAGAATTTGAATGCTAAACAGTTGAAACTGTGAGACAGTTCAGTAGATGGTATTTTCTCTCAAAGGCACCTGATATATTCTTTTTTGGGAAAAAGTGTGTGAGAAAGTTAACAATTACGTGGCTGCTTTTAGAAATAGCTTAGCTGAAGCTTAACTTCAAAAGCAGTTTACTCAGCTTCTGAAAAGCTGCTCTCTTATCTAGTAGGTGGAATACACTTGTTAAGGTGCTGCTAATAGTCCTTCTCGAAAGCTTCATCCTGATCTTCATCCCCTTCAAAAGAAATTATGGTGGAGGGCAAGTGCTGCAATGTCTGCACTGCTCAATGGAGCATCAGCAAAAGGGTTGGGATTCTGGTAAATAGTGGCAAGAACAATTTGGATAAGTAGAAATAAAGAATAGGAACAAAGGAAACTAAGCATTCAGTCTAATCAATCTGTAGCTGCATTAAATAAAAGTAACTGAATAAAGCCTGAATTTCATATCTGCAATGCTATGTGTTGGTATCTAATAGTGATTTGAAAGTCTCCATTCATGATATTGTCATTTCTCTGTACATCAGGAATTCTGATGTGCCACAACTTTAAGTAGCCCATCTGTAATTACCTCTGTTGCCTTAGTAACAGAGGTATTAGCATCATTCCTGTAGATAACTACTGGAGCTTTAGGGGTCAATTCTCCAGTTTATACATTGAAGGAAAGAAAATAAAGCTTTGTAACTGACTTAATTTTATCCTTTCTTTTTCCTAAAGGCTTTTGATAGAGAGGGTGACCCTATAAGATACCTCATTCAGAATGGAGATCCTCAACAAGTTTTTAATCTCTCTCAAAGGTAAGTAGAAAAACCCTCAGAAAATAGACTTGTAACTTTTCAGTCAAGCAACTAGGTGGGCTGAGACCAAAAGAAAAGACTGCTAATTAGACATACTCAGCTGTTCCTTAGATTGGCTCTTAGATGTTAATGAGTGCTCTGTGAATGATACTGCACTCTGGAATTTTTCCCAGGGGATTATTTATTTATTTTAAACACTTCAGTAGGTAAAACTCACTGAGGTAGAAACATTGTATTTAAGAGTGCCCAGGGATTAATTAAACACCTTATACTTGTCAGCTCTTGAGTAATGACAGGGACATTTTTTGCTTTAGTTTCCTGCCTTCAGGCATTTAAGTCTGTAGTGGAAAGCCTTCTGAGCATTTTAAAAAAACCTCTTTAAAGTGACTACTAGCTTAAATAGAGCTAGAAGAGAGCACATGTTATGAAATTATGAGAATCATGTAGGTCTGTGCTTGTCCCACCACTCCCTTCTTTATTTTGTCCATGCAGCTATTCTTTGCACTCCAACATATCTTTCTCTCTTTGCAGGAAGAAGGGAGGGTGACTAGCTCTCTCCCTATGGTAGAGGATGGGACAAAAAAGTAACCTGGGACTTACTTGTTCAAGGTGTGGGTATAACTGCAAAAAACAGTTCTAATTTGGTGTGAGGGAGAGATTGCACTGAAACAGGTCTGTGTGTTCTGAGTAAGCTCTAGGTTACTCACAGTGGTAAATCTCCCATGCACAGAGAATCAAATAATGTGAAAAAAGCCTTGAAGATCCTGAGATAGTGATGCTCTTACACACCAGGAATGATAGACCCTCTAATAATAACGACTTGTGAGGCAGGGAAGGGACAGCTTAGAGAGAGAAGATTGTTTCCCTGAAGTGGCAAGAGCAGGAGATGATGTTGTGCTGCTGATGTTGTCCAGTGCATAGGGCTGGAGCCTCCAGTGCAGGCCAGGGAAGGTGAGATTTGGTCATCATCTCAGAGCACTGCAAGTCATAACTCCAGCAGTCAGAGCTCCAGCACAGTACAGGTTTGTAGGGTTTTCTGCAGAAATGATGCTAGCAACCCTCCCCCTAGCACAGAGCAACTTGGCCTGACCTGCTCTGTGACCCCTAAAACTTGAGTGATGAGGAGTGTGCCTGGCTGCATGAGAGCTGTTTTGTACAGGTTGTGCTCATTACACTGCTGTTCACATCACACCATCAAAATCCTGATACATCTCCATACCAGAGAGACTTAAACTGTGTGTGCAAATTCAGGCCAGCTTCTGGCCTGCCAAACCCAGAATTCCAGAGATGAGGTCCTGGGCAGTTCTTGTACTGTCCAGCTTAGGATGTAAACCGTGTGATGATAGCCAGAAGTCAGGCTGTTGGAGGTGCCGTGAATTCAGTGCTGTGAATTCAGACAGGAAACAAACAAGAATTTTCTGATCTCCTCTCCCAAGGCTGCAGGCACAGCACCTCCCAGGGCCTGTCAGGGGTGGCTGGGAGTCCTCCTCCATCCCTCTTGGCCTCCAGGGCCCATCACAGGCAGTCTGACACCCCCCAACACACCCCTCAGCCTCACATTCACCCCACTGGTGTCTGAGCACCACGACACACTGAGGGCTGCAGCACAAACCCAGCCTGCAGTTGTCTTTTTGATCTGTTGCCTCTTGGTAAAAAAGAGAGCGCTTTGAAGTGTTTTCTCCTTCCTGCTCTCCTTGCATCTGTTTCCTTGGAAATCCTTTGTGCAAAGTTTTCTTCAGCCTTTTGCACATTATTTCTAGATGCTGAAGTGTCTTGATAGGAGATTAAAGTAGGATTAATGTTAAACAAAGCATAAAGTTATTGTGTGTGGCATATTAAGGCTACAGAAATGTATCTTAATGTTACATAAACAAATTTTTAGATACTTTTAAGGCCATGGTGGAGGCCCTGGACTTAATTCTATCTTAGTTTTTCTCATCTGGATTACTTTCTTGTGTCCTGGAGCATGTCAGTTGATCCCTGTGTAATTCCCTAGCTGGCAACACAAGTGCCAAATATTTCCAGGTTTACAACTACCTACTAGGTCTCATCCTCCATCTGAGGACTTTGAGATGGTTTTACTCTTTCTTCTTTCACAATACAACCTGAGCTTGATCTGTAGTAAATCGGTACTTTCTTATCTTCCCAGGGACAGTCATGATTAAAAGCTAGGGTATTAAATGATTGGAAGTACAGCAGAATCCTTGAGTAAAACACAGGAGTTTGTATAAATTATCCTGTCTCTTGAATAATGTTAAACAATTGAAATGGAGACAGTAGGCTGCAATTGTTCAGACAGAAGGGGAAGATAAAAAGTCCATATGATAGTGCAAAAATATTGGAGAAATTTAAATAGATACATGCAGCTAAAGGTCAGTGTTGGTAAAACAGTGTTTGTTGTCAGTATTCTTAGCTCCTCGTTTTTTGGGGGGTTTATTGTGTTTGTTGATCACCTAAGTGTCACCTGTTTTATTCATTGCTGCTTTTCTTAAAAAAAGTCTTGTGTTCATATTTCATTGCAGTGTCTTGAACAGATGCTGAAAAATATATAGGATCTATTAAGATGACTAATTGATTTGTAAAAACACCTGGAAATAAGAGAACTGCTAAAATACATGTGTTAGCATTTTGTGTCAGTTAATAATACATCTGACTCTCCTACAGCCCTCAAAGGAACTTAATGCCTTCCTTAGTGGAGTCACTGCTATTTCAATGTCTGCTGTTTATAAATTAGATAAAAAACCAGTTTAAAAGCAAAATGGTCGTTAGTAATATGGTGATAGTATTGAGGTCAGCTGAATATTCCTGAGCAGAAGACAGTACATGATACTGGAAGCAAAAATGAGACATGCAGTGTTATTAATTTGTCACCACAAACTACAGGAATAGATTGCTTGAAATCCCACCACTTTTATACTCCTTGCCTTCTTGTGGCCATGAATGTGTGCAAAGCTTGCAGTTTACTGTTAGTCTAATTAGTGTCTTAATAGCCTAATGAAATTATTATTAGTCCCCTTCCAATACAAATGCAGATAGCTAAAATGGCATATATGCATGTTTTAGTAGGTGTATGTAAGTGCATGTGTATGATGTAATGTACTTTATGTATACATGGAATTTTAACATTTATTCATATGTACATATGTACATATTTTAATATATACTCCTATATAGCTTCATGTATTTATATTACACTGTATATGACTAAGGAAAGGTATATAAATATACACACAAGCTTTCTAAGGTCTGTCCCTTGCTCTGGTATTACACTTGACCCTTCCCCTTTCCCTTTAACCCAAGGGGCTGTGCTGAGTCTTCAGCATCTGAAGCCCTGCCCTAGGAAGAGGAATATGATGCTGGCAGCTCATTCTCCTCACTGGAGGATCCGTTTTGTGTCATTTTTGTGTTTGTTGACATTTTCTGTACCACACTTTCTTTTTCCCAAGTGCATGCAGTTCCATCTTAGATTTGAAATCAAGACATGTTGTGTTTTACATCCGTGGATACTTGTTTATTGTTCTCTCTATGACCCCAAACTGGTTCTGGGCAGCTCCTAAGGTTGCGTGTCATTAGCAGTAGCTGGCCACCAGTAAGGTGTTTGTACCTTGCTTTTTTGCTCTGTGGGTAGTTCAATCTCTGCACAATAACCATGCTATAGCTATGCATGGTTTACAAAAAACAAAGTTAAACTAAGCCTTGTGCTGCACAGTTGTGGAAAAGTAAGCAAAAGCTAAAACATTGGTATCAGGTACCTGCTCTTTAGATAATTGCTGTTTAAAGATAAAATCAGCCCCCAAGCAGGCCAGGGCAAGTCCATGGAAAGAAACATGGTAGGCCCTGAGGCCTTCTTGTAACTTGGCACAAGGCTTGTGGTTTGGGACAAGACACATCAGCTCCAGATTTGCTGGGTTACAAAGTCACACAGAATATTCCTGTGTCCCATCGGTTTGTACCAACCTCCAGGAAAGTATTTTAGCCCCTCTAGGGGTAATGGTTTTAAGCTGGAAAAGGGTAGATTTAGGTTAGATATTATGAATAAATTCTTTGCTGTGAGGATGGTGAGACACCAGAACAGGTTGTCCAGGGAAGTTTTGATGTCTCGTCCCTGGAAGTGTTGAAGGGCAGGTTGGATGGGGCTTGGAGCAACCTGGGCTGGTGGGAGGTGTCCCTGCCCATGCAGGGGGGTTGGATCCAGATGATCTTTAATGTTGCCTCCAACGCAAACCGTCCTCTCATTCTGTTTTAGGTACAAATGAAGTTGCTAGCTTGTTGTTTTTTGAGGAAGCTAAACATGACACATCCCTATGTTTTATTTGTGCAGCAATGAGGCAGGACCGAATGTAGCATCTCCTAAAACATCCTCATCTTTGATTACTGAGCCTGGATATTATTTCACCTACCAACTTTTCAATCCTAGGGGAGAATTATGCTCCCATTCACTGTTTCTACCTGTTTCTGCAGTATTTATTTGAAGAAACTGCTGGCAGGAACAGCTTGCCAGGAATGGTGGGTATTTGTTTCTGCTGAAAACATTGCAGCAGAAACTGCAGAAATTTATATTCTAGGTAAAAAAAATATCATTAGGTACAGATGATACACCTCCAAGCATTCTGGATAATGAAAACTTCCTAGTTTGGTGGGACTTTGCATTTTGATTTGCCTTTTTTTTTTTTTCCTTGTTTTAATTAAACCTCTTTCTGAACAAGTAGCTGTTTATGTTCTTTGTCATGAACATAGAATGTAGGTTCAACCAATGAAATTTATAACTGTGCCTGCTAAATAGCTGTGTCTGTTATGTCCATTAAAAATGAAATAACAGATGGAAAGTCACAGCATACCAAGATCCCAGCTCATGTGGATTTTGCCCTGCAAAATCATGTGTTCTTACACTTTTCTTAAAATGTTAGAAGCTGACCCTGGCCTGTTTGCTGCACTTGTAAGGAAGAAGCTGCTTAGCCATGCAACAAGACCATAAACATCATCCTGGATCCTTGCTTGTTGGTGCATATTTATTAAAAAGCCTCTGGGTCAGGTGGCATTTGAGAGAGATGTCAGCTTATGATGATCTCCATCAGGTTCCAATAGACACCCAAATCCTGTCAATGAAATGCAGAGCTTTAGGGCTGATCAGGGAAGTACCACTTGTCCCAGTTCAGTTAAGCAGGGTTTAGCTTGCTTAGACAGAATTGTCAATTCAGTGGTACTTTTTCTGGTGCTTCCTAATATAAAAGTGATTAGTCCATGGTGGGATCTTGTCCAAGTGTTGCTACATCAAACCTCCAGGTTGCTTCCAGACTTCAGCATGAGGAAATGGCATCATCCCAGAGAAAAAGAATCCAAATAGGTTTGTTTGTCAGCAGTTACAGGAATCTGCAACATTTTCAAGCAGCATTTTTGTAAAATTTTGTTTTCTTTTTTTTGTGCAGCTTTCAAATGGCCCTTCAATTCACTATCTGTTTAAACTGGGCTTAGATAATCCCAACCCACAAAATTTATCTTTGGCAATCTTTGTGCCTATATTAATATCTTATTATTAGGTGAGATGGTGTCTGTGCCTTCCCTGAGAAGGCATTAGCTCATTGCAGCACTTGTACTGCAGTTGCACAACATGCAAAAATTCCCTACAAAACTCTGAGGAAGACTCATCCTTGTTTTCCTGCAGTTGGCTGCTGCAATCTTCCCAGGAATATCGGGACTCCTCTGTGATAAATAGGCTGCTGTGATTCTCCTCATTTATTGTAGCAGTGCAGCTCTCTAACAAAGGAGAGCCCTGTGGGTGTTCATTGTAGGCCTATTTTGTAGAATCCTGTAGATCACGAGGTTGTTACTTTAATCCTGAATTATATATGTATCGAAGCAGGAAGCATTAGAAATTGGCTCATCATTTTTACTAACCTTGGTAAGCATGTACATACACAAAGCATGCTTCCCATTGTAATAAGGCCTAGAAGCTTACTGACTTGCTTAAAGAGAGAGAGATGTAGAACAAAACTGCTTGTAGATCTCTTAAAACTGTTGTGTTAACTTTTTTATATGTTTTTGTTTTATTACTAGTTCTGGACTGCTAGCCTTAGGAAAGCCCTTGGACAGAGAAAGCACTGATCGCTATATTCTGATTGTTACAGCCTCGGATGGCAGACCAGATGGGGTGAGTTGCCTGTGAAAGTTTAAGAAAATGGGCTGTTACCCTATGGAGTTAGGAACTTGAAGTAGTCTGGTTGGAGTGTCTTTTATATGGGTCTTGATCCAATCTATCTGTAATCTGCAAGACTTCTTCTGTGTCTCAAGAAGGTTTGTGTAGATGAAGCTTGTGTATCACTTTGATCTTGAAAACAAGTGACTTTGCTGCTACTTCTGCCTTTTAGTTACTCTTCAACAAGAACCAATGCAGCCAAGGTTTTGTGTAACTCAGATCTGTGCATCTTCTTAGTGTTTCTTCTCTGTGCTATTAAAAAAACAGTCTTCCTTTCTAAGGATCAGTTGTGTGGGCAGGTATATTACAGATATGTACTTCATCTAGTCAAATGCAAGGAACTTTTTCTATAATTGACAGATGAAAACACTGTCCAGCCTCAGGGTTTTTTTAAGCTCTCAGGAAAAATCTAAGAAAGTGCCCTGCTGCTTTTCTTAGAAGATAAAACTTCAATCAGGAGTTATTTATGAGTCTCTTGTATTTGGTATGATCAGACATGCAGAGCCTCTGCAACCAAACCAATAAACTGCTACTCATATTTGTGTTTAGTGTAATAGAACTGTGATTTTCAATTTTCATGGTAAAAAATAGAGAGCTGATGAGGGTGTGTGTTTATTTTTCAAGCAGAGGCAATGGAATTAGTTTTCCTGGAAGTCTGCAACAAGCCCAGCAGGGGGTTTTACCACAGTTGAACTGTACAAGGCATGTGAGAGTGCTGCAGTTCTGCTTGTGCCATGGAATAACAGCATAGCTGGAGGACAATGTCTGACCTTAAAATTACATTGTCTAAGGGCAGATCTAAGATAATATATCTGCATTATCTGGGCTGTTCTAGGAGACAGTGTTCAGCTTTGAGATTGAAACAGAAATCATTGACTGTTTGCTATGGAGTGGTCATGAAAGCTCTTGGTTTGGACCCTTACTCCCCTTGTCCTCACTGCAGCAGAAGAAAATCTTATGTATTATATCTAGGGCTTGCTCTTTTCCCTCTTTTAACTGCTTCGTCTTGTAAGGTTTGTCTTCCTGCTCCCTATTTACTTGGAAATTCCTACCCCTCAAAAACAACCAACCAACCAAAAAACACAACAAACAACTGAGAAAGTTTTAGAGCCTTTACACAATTCTGTGGTAATATGGAATAACAGACCCTCCACCTTTTCAATTAAAAATCTGGTTGCAGTTATCTTCAGTAAGTCACCTTAACATTTGTGATTTTGTTACTTTTGAACTACTCTCCATGCTTGGTAGCTAGGAGTCCAGTTGTTCTCATGTCTACCTTCCACCTGTGGAATCTGAAGATTTCAATAAAGGGCTTGAGTTCTGTTTCAGACTGTATTATACTGCTGAAGTACTATCTGGAGCATGGAAGGCTGCTGCAAAGATATTCCCTCCTCCTTTCATCTAGAGATTCTTTCTCTTTATCCCAGAACTTAACTGGACATTTTAACACTCAGAAGATAATAGTTGCTTTTCTAATAGAAACCCAGTGAATCATAGCATGCTGCTTAACATAAAGTAGTTGTACAAAGGTGAGATAAGGCTTTTGAAGCCACACTTTTGAAAAAACAGCTAAAATAAACCTTGAAGGGTTTAATTAGCATTGTCTCTGAACTGTGCTGAGGTAGGGTTGGCTCTCTGTTGCAGCAGCAGCAGCCATCTATAGGCACAGTCTGGGAGCAGTTCCCTAGCCAGGCTGGGACAAGTAGTGACCGTGTTGTTGAGAGGATGGACTGGCCTCTGATGCTTCATGCATCACCTAACCCAGCCAGGACAGGGTCATTATATGCAAATTTCAGGAGTTTTTTGATTGTTGGGAACTTTTTAGGGACAGTATCAAGAGTACTCCACAAGAAAATCAAATAATTAGAGCCCAAAGGACTGTGGTAACATCAGTGAAAAGGTTTTTGTGATTTCCCACCTCTGGCATAAAACCCATCATTTCTCAGTAAGATGTTACTAGTGCAGCATTCACTTGACAAGCAGAAAGACAAGCCAAAGAGCAGCAGGTCACTTCACTTTTCAATACTGAATGCTCTTGATGGATGTTGCTACATTGTTCTTGCTGTAACAACAATGTACACTTACAAAAATCCACTCTCCTGCTATCTCATTAACTGCTTTCCTCCCTCAGTATGATATGTTTTTTTTTCCTGGAGTTTTGTATCTGAAGATGTGGGTGTTAATTGTTCTCAGTGAAATTCAGTCACGCTTTCTAGCTCGAGTGTTTTCTCTTCATTAATGTTTGGTTTGGATTCTTCATCACTATGTCTTACCTGACTGTAGCTGTTTTTTTTCTGTTATGCTACTTTCTGCCAGTGGTGGGGGCATCTTTTTTCTTAAAATTGTCCAGCAGACTTGACAAGCTGACTTAGCTGCTCTTGTACCCTAAGCTTCTGGTGACAATACATGGCTTAGGAGATGGCTGGCGTTGCCAGTATCACAGGTGAGGCTGTGTTAAGAATCATAGAATCTTAGGGGCTCCCTCAGCCTCTCCTCATAAGGGAGATGTTCCACTCCCTTCATCATCTTAGTAGCTCTGTGCTGGACTCTTTCAAGCTCTTCCCTGTCCTTCTTGGACTGAGGGGCCCAGAACTGGACACAATACTCCAGATGCAGCCTCACCAATGCAGAATAGAGGTGGAGGAGCACCTCCCTTGACCAACTAACCACACCCTTTCTAATGCACCCCAGGATGCCATTGGCCTTCTTGGCCACAAGGGCACATTGCTGGCTCATGGTCATCCTCCTGTCTACCAGGACCCCCAGGTCTCTTTCACCTACACTACTCTCCAGCAGTTCAGCCCCCAACCTGTACTGGGACATGGTGTTGTTCTTCCCCAAATGTAAAACTCTGCACTTCCCCTTGTTGAATTTCATCATGTTTCTCCCCGCCCAACTCTCCAACCTATCTAAGTCTCTCTGAATGGCAGCACAGCCTTCTGGTGTGTCAGCCACTCCTCCCAGCTTAGTGTCATCAGCAAACTTGCTGAGGGTACATTCTATACCCTCATCCAGGTCGTTGATGAAGATGTTGAACAACACCGGTCCCAGCACCGACCCTTGTGGGACTCCACTAGTAACACACCTCCAACCAGATTCTACCCCATTGACTACAACTCTCTGACTCCTTCCTTTCAACCAGTTCCTAATCCACCTCACTTCCTGGTCACCAAACCCATACCTGATCAACTTATCCACAAGGATGCTGTGGGAGACGGTGTCAAATGCTTTACTGAAATCAAGATAAACCACATCTACCGCTCTACCATCATCTATCCACCTAGTAATTTCCTCATAGAAGGCTATGAGGTTAGTCAAACATGATTTACCCTTGATAAAACCATGTTGACTGCTCTTGATGACCCCCATGTCCTTGATGTGCCTGGAGATAGTGACAAGAACAAGTTGTTCCATCACCTTTCCAGGGATGGAGGTGAGGCTGACCGGTCTATAGTTACCCGGGTCCTCCTTCTTGCCCTTCTTGTAGACTGGAGTGACATTTGCTATCCTCCAGTCCTCAGGCACCTCACCTGTTGCCCATGATTTACTGAAGATGATGGAGAGTGGCCTAGCAATGACCTCCGCCAGCTCCCTCAGCACCCTTGGGTGCATTCCATCTGGACCCATTGATTTATGGATGTCCAGATTACTCAACTGATCCCTAACCCAATCCTCATCTACCATGTCAAACTCTTCCTCTATCTTGACTTCTTCTGGGGCTATATGAATCTGGGGCTCATAGGGAGACCCTGCAGGAGTGAAGACAGAGGCAAAGAAGGCATTCAGCACCTCTGCCTTCTTTATATCCTCTGTCACCAGGGCTCCCACCTCATTCCTCAATGGGCCAATATTGCCTCTATTGCTAGTTTTGCTAGCTATGTACTTGAAAAAGCCCTTTCTATTATCCTTAACCTGACTTGCAAGGTTAAGTTCCAAGGAGGCCTTAGCTTTCCTAATTGCCTCCCTACATCCTCTGACAACAGTCCTATATTCCTCCCAAGTGACCAGCCCCTCCTTCCATGATCTATAGATTTTCCTTTTCCACTTAAGTTTGCCCAGTAGTTCCTTCTTTAACCATGCAGGTCTCCTAGCACCCTTACTAGATTTCCTAACCATTGGGACACTCTGATCCTGTGCTTGCAAGAAGTGGTCCTTGAATGTTGACCAGCTATCTTGAGCTCCTTTATTTTCTAGCACCCTGTCCCATGGGATTTCCCTTAATAGATGATTGAGGAGACCAAAGTTTGCCCTGTGGAAGTCCAGGGTTCTGGTCCTGCTGGGTATTTTGTTCCTTCCACACAGGATATGTACTCATATAAAATCTGTTTTGTTGTGATTACATCAGCTCAGTTAAGATTTTATTAGCATTTAAATTCTATCACCATGCCTTACAAATTAGGTAGTTAATATTGTACAAACAAGGCAAACAAATAATTATCTTACTGTATTGCTTAATAATCTACCTGGTCTTCTGACATTTTTCAAAAAGAATTTTCAGCTTCAGTACAATACATTTTTTTTCTATCTATACCCTCATCCAGGTCGTTGATGAAGATGTTGAACAACACCGGTCCCAGCAACGACCCCTGAGGGACTCCACTGGTCACACACCTCCAACCAGATTCTGCCCCATTTGCTACAACTCTCTGACTCCTTCCTTTCAACCAGTTCCTGATCCACCTCACTACCTGATCACCAAACCCATACTTGATCAACTTATCTACAAGGATGCTGTGGGAGATGGTGTCAAATGCTTTACTGAAAGTTTCTTGACTTTTAAGTTTCTTGACTTTTATTTTACAAACAAATAGACCAAGCAGGAAAGCTCAACCCGTTAAATCTCCATGCCTTTTCCATGCCAGCAAAGAGTGGTTCTGACTAATTGCCAGGGTTCCTTGTGTCTTGGCATAATTTCTTCAATTTGCAGCTCTTTTGGACTCCTCTGCTATTTGTCA